CAGACTATAACGTAAAAAACCAGTATATCTCTAAAACCAATTACGCTGGCGAACTGAAACTTAGAACTGATGCATATATTGCAAATGAATTGGGAAAGGGGACGTGGTTCCTTCCTTCCATACAAACTGAACTTCTCATATACAAGCTTATCTCTGGAACCGCTTACGTTAACGTCCTGAAATTCTACACAGCTACATATCGTCGTACTTACGGCAAAAAGTGGTAAGTAATGGAAAATCCGGGGTGGCAACCCCATGCTTCTCATTTCACTTATCTCTGGAAATGCGCACGTTAACTTTCTGAAATTTGGCACAGCTACATATGTTATCAATAGCGTACTTATGGCGAAAAGTGGTAATTATTGGAAACACTTGATCGATATACATACATTTACGTACTCGCGCAAGTATCATTCGATTGGGAACTATTTTCTCCTAGATTTCTAAATCCCATTGAACTATTGTGACTTTGTTTTTAATTTATAGTAAAAGGTAAAATTTATGGGAAAATTTTGAAGAAGGTTTTTAAATTCTCGCAAGGGATGGTGCTTTGATTTTACGAGTTTCGCTAGAGACTATCCTATCTACATACCTATTTATATAAAATGATGCCGTTTTCGTTGTTCGGACTGAATTCAAAAACCACTGAATGGAGTTCCGTCAGATTGTCGGAGGTTATCTTACATACATATATGGTCCTATTACATGCTACAAGAAAACTCGCTAGGTGGTGCTGGAGTAGAGTTATTTATAAAAATCGTATTTTTTAACCGAATTCGTTCAAACTTTAAATGTGAGCTATGTACCTGTATGACGGAAAAATCTTTTGATAAAAATTTACTCGATGAGTGCCGCTGGAGTCGAGGTAGAAATTCACAACAAGTACTCATTTTATGGTAAGCAATGGTTTTGCAGAAAATGGACCCAATGGATGGCGCTGCAGCCGAAATGTATAGAAACCCCGTGTGGTTGGTCTGCTTTGGCCCTATGTTTTAGTTATGCGAATTTAGTTTAGCGAGGATTCTTGGCCCTTCTATAACAGAAAACGCACTTCTGTACTCTTGAGTTTCCTTATAAGAACTTTTATTGGTATACGCATCGCAACAATGTTGTAGTTGCAAGATCATAGGAAAAGATTACGCATGCTTGGCAGAGATCTCACAGGTGGAAACAAGACCATCGGTAAAGCTCATGACACCGAAAGGGATTGGTGTTCCATATGGTATCACAGCGTTACTATTATTGGCCTATGTGTGAGGAGAATACTGCGCCTTAGTGCTTTCAACTTAAACCAAAAATTTTAACTTTACAGGCTATTTTTGCTTCTAAACGCTCTTTTGCATGGGCCAACGCAAAAGTTCTTATTAGGCGCTGCGAAGTAAGCGGGCATTGGCTAGTCATAAATATTTTTATTGCTCGTAAACAAATAACGGAACACTCACATTCTTTCTATAGCTTAATGATTTGGTACTACGGAAAATTTTGTGTGACAAGCAGTGTTGGTAGAAAAATTTTGTTAAAAATCTTCCAGGTGATTAAAATCTTCAAAAACCGTAAAAAGGTTACTGAAACTGGAAAACAAATCTATTTTTCTCTAGAATAATTTGTATTGAAGATTTTATAACGAAGAAACCTTCACTTTTTAAAATTTTCTTGTGTTATACAAAACCATAACACATTTTGTTAAAAAAAAAAAACCTTTTTAAAAAATCCTTTGTATAAATAATACCACTGCAGGTGCTGGTTTCCAGATTATTACGACTCCTTTTTTTGTTTAAAATTATTTGAAAAAAACTCTCTAGCTGTCCTACTTCCGCATGTGCATCAGTAAATTGATGACAAATACCAAAAATTTGTTGCCAACTAGCCCAAAAAAATAAATCTTCAAGTGTTGCCAGATATATAGAATGTGAAGAATTGTTGTATGGAGTTTTATTTTGTTGTAGTTACCTTCATGGGAAGATTTTTATGATTATTTATGAAAATATCTTCATTTTGAAGATAATTCTTTACTTCTGGCAACACTGGTGACAAGTGCGACCTGCGTAAGAGGACCTTCAGTGCTGTATGCTTAAAAAATTCAATGAAGCTGATTAAAACAGTAAAATCTATTCTTATTTACTTATTTGCAGTGCAAATAAAATAAAATAAATAAAATTTGTTTTCAATGACTGAAGAATGTGTCAGACGTGGCAATTCAATATATTTCGAAAAGGCTGTCAAATTGAGAGATTTCAGAAAGCATCCGCATGAGTCACGCCATGCATGTAGAGTGTCTTTCGAAAGAGTTTTTTTTTATTTCCGAAAGACAAACTTCAGGGAAAGTCTCTAAAATCGGCTTTCGTTATTTAGATAAATTTTCTATACCAAAATTTTACTATTTTTTGCCGATATTATGTGGCAATAGAATTCAGTAAACTGAAGTCCCTTAAAGCGGATTCGTAGCTCGCTCACGTTCTAAACTTTTTTCTAATTTACTCTTACTCTCTAGCATTTTTAGTCCGATTTCAATAATTTTCAACGATTTGGTTTTATGTGCCAAACACAATAACCATAGCAAGTATTGTACAAATTGGTTGAACGTATACTGAGATAAATATATGTGATCATAAGTAGGCGGTGCCACGCGCATTTTCCAAAATTTTGTCATAAACGTATTTATTGGTAAAAAATTATTGCAAGCATAAATTTTTAATAAATTAGCTTTAGTATTTACTGATTTATTGAAGATTTCGTATTTCTCTAAATTTCCGTTATATGGAATGTGGTCGTGGTTATGGTTCAATTTTAACAAGTAAGAAAGTCTAAGTTCGGGCGGAGCCGAACATTAAATACCCGGCGCAAGTATTGAAATATATGTTTTTTCACCTTTAATCTAATAATTATCTAATAAAATAATCTAATTAAGCTAATTTGATAAAATATAAAATTTTATTTTTTGAAGAAATCCAGTGATTTTGAGTGTTTTTTTCGAAGAACCCCATTTTTGAACAATTTTTTTTTAATGTGAAGCAGTAACTATGACTTAATAGCAACATTGTTCCGGTAAAGGTAATTACAATAGCTTTCAAATCCATTTTGTTATTGCTTCTGTCGAAAGCGCTACGATTAATTCGCATAGAATGTCAAAAAGCACACTGTGCGGCGTTGGCCACATTAATGAAATTTAATTCATTATTATTAATTTGAAGGTTAAGTGCACGTTTTTGTGTTATGTTGATTTTTCTATTAAATCATAATTAACAAATCTGTCAGTTTTTAGAACAAAAGCTCATAATTTAAATACCCGTGAAGCGAAAAAAT